CCCCCCGGCTCACAGCTCACTCCCGCAGGCCCTCGCCTGCCGGCGCCCCTCAGGGCAGGGTGCCCCCGGTGGGCAGGGGCCCGTGGGTCAGCTGCGGGCTCAGCCCCGGCAGCCCAGGGCCAGACCCAGGGCCCGGCCAAGCGCCTCAGGACACTCCACGGCCCGGGACCAGGCCAGGGCCTCCCAGGAGCAGGGAGGGCAGAGTCGGGCCAGACGTGGCTCCGCCTGCGGTGCCTCGCGGCCCCGAGAGAGCAGCCGGGGAGCAGGGTGACTGGCCGGCAGTGTCCACGGAGGCAGGGCCCAGGCGCCAGGAGGCCAGGACACCGGGTTCCACAGAGCCGGGGGGACACACGGCACCCGCAGCTCGGCCTGTGTGGCCCGGACGTGGCCGGCGTGTTCACCTCAGGCACGGAGCCCCTGGGGTCGGGAGAGAAGCCTCAGGCGCAAGGCAGAGACCCCCAAGGCCCCCAAGAACAGATCACAGAGCAAGAGAAAGAAAAACCCAGGAGGGCAGAGGCCGCTGGCCAGCCCCGGGGCTCAGACCCGCAGTCCCGAGCCCAGAGCCCGCCAGCACGGAGCCGCAGACCGGAGCTCAGAAGCGGTGCTGGGGCCCCGCGGGCGCTGCCCCGGGGCGCGGCAGGCCTCTCCTGGGCCCGCTGCCCCCACTCAGCCTCTGGCGGCCTCTCGATCCTCTCACCGCCCTGCACCTCTGGCCTGCACCCCAGTACCCTGGTTCTGTACGTGTAAGTAAACCTTGGGGGGAAAGGAGGGACGTTTACAAAGCGACCAGCGAGAGGCTAGGGGCAGGCGCAGGTGGGTGGGGGCCCGCGGCCGCCCTGAGTAGACCCGAGACGGGATGGGGCGCCCAGCAGAGAACCCCGGACACAACCCCCACCAGCCCGGGCCACCTAGGGCCACAGTGCGGGGGGCGGGGGGGCAGGAAGGAGGGGAGCCGGAGGTGCACGACAGTCCAGACGGCAGCCCTGGCCGGGGCACGGGGACAGAGGGGACACCCCGAGAGACCGGGGCCGAGCAGCAGCCCAGACCCCACCCTGGCGCCCTGCGAGGCAGAAGCAAACGAGACGGGGAACGAGGACGCCGGCCGCACGGCAGCCGGAGCCGAGCCCCGGGGCAGAGGTCAGGCGGC